AAACACTCCACCATCATCCCCATCCCAAAGAAACCCAAAATTACAGGACTAAATGACTACAGGCCTGTAGCTCTAACATCTGTGGCCATGAAGTCATTTGAAAAGCTGGTGCTGTCTTATCTGAAGGACATCACTGGACCCTTACTGGACCCCCTGCAGTTTGCCTACCGAGCAAACAGGTCTGTGGATGATGCAGTCAACATGGGATTGCATTATGTTCTGCAACATCTGGACAGACCGGGGACTTATGTGAGGATCCTGTTTGTGGATTTCAGCTCTGCTTTTAACACTATCATTCCGAACCTCCTCCTGCCCAAACTAACTCAGCTATCCGTGCCCACCTCCATCTGTCAGTGGATCACCAGCTTTCTTACAGACAGGCAGCAGCAAGAAAAATTCTCATCCAGCACCCATACGATCAGCACTGGCGCCCCCCAGGGGTGTGTTCTCTCCCCACTGCTCTTCTCCCTCTACACCAATAACTGCACATCTAAAGACCCCTCTGTCAAGCTCCTGAAGCTTGCAGACGACACCACACACATCGGCCTCATTCAGGACGGTGACGAGTCTGCTTACAGATAGGCATCGTGATATCGAATTGAACCGAATCGATGACATGATAATCATAACCGAACCGAACCGTGAGACCAGTGTAGGTTCACACCCCTAATATAAGTGTTTTTTTTGTTTTGTTTTTTTAATGTAGGACTATTTTTTTCCGCAGCCAAACGCTGCACGCTGGACAACTTTAAGCCCTGAATTCGCCGCTGTGTGACTTCTGTTTGAGCTGTGTTTCTTAGGCCGAGTTCAGACTGTCAGAGAAAAATCTGTATTTAGATATTATCCAGATGGGTTTTGAATGCCTGAACAGCAAAAAAAAAAAAACAACGCATGGAATGTGATTTTTAATTTTTTTTTCAAATATGTTACAAACCACATATGTAGGTGTTTGAAAGGCGAATTTTTACAGATGTGTCTTAGTCTGGACGCTCATAGATGCTCATATTGGATTTCAAAATGTATTTTGCATCACTCTTAATGTGACAAACACAATAACGTCAAAACCGGTGACAGAAATGGCAGAAATATTCATACAGTATTCAAACTACAGCACAGAACATCACAATATATACTGGCGCTGAGGTTTCTTGTGCGACAGAGGAGTTCTGAACCGCGTCTTGATAGGATGCTTAATATGGACATTGAGACGATGCACCTCCATTTTTCTGCATCTGTTTTGGAAGCCTCATGAAAAACATGGGTATGACTGGACATGCAAATCTGGTTTGATCACTTGCAATTAATAGTGAGGACAGTCTGCCTAAAAAGATCTGATTTGAGAAAAAAATATGGTTTGCCTTCAGTCTGAACATAGCCTTACGGGATGCTACACAGTCGAGACAATGAACCTTTTTTGCTTGCAATATTTTGCTACAATTTCACTCATGTGTAATTGTGCCCATGAACAGCTGTTCTCTGTGGTAAAATTGTGGCTTTATAAATGATAACACTTTAATATAGGGGCCAATTCTCTCTAGTTGCTTATTAGAATGCCTATTATTAACATGTTGGCTGTTTATTAGCACTTATATTCTGCATGAGCATATTCTACAGCCCTAATACCTAAACTTAACAACTACCTTACTAACTATTAATAAGCAGCAAATTAGTTGTTTATTGAGGCAAAAGTCATAGTTAATGGTTTGTTAATCGCGAGAATTGGACCTTAAATAAAGTGCGACCTTATAAACTTACTAACATACGAAGATATCCTTTGGACTTACCAAAATGCTGCTGACCAGTATCATTTCAAAGAGTGTAGGCCCCAGGTTAAAGACCAGAGCGCTGAGCACAAAGCTGATTCCTCGAGTGCCACGGTCGATGGCTTTGGACAGCGCTCCCGTCTGCCTGCTCAGGTGGAAGCCCAGGTCCAGGTTGTGAAGTTGGAGAAAGACGTTCTTGGCTATCCTTCTGATGGAGCTCTGAGCCACTTTCCCGAACACTGCGTTCCTCAGCTCATTGAAGAGAGCGGACCCGGCGCGGGAAACACCGTCTGAAAACACACGCGTTCACTGTCAACACAACACAAACTTAAAAGCACAGAAAGCGTGTGCCACTTCATTTACATAGTTGCTGGAGAAACAAAGGGAGTCACTGCGTGCGGCGTAGACAACTTCCAATAAATTAGGATTTATTGGGGACAGTCACAGCAGCACTCAGATATGAAGAGCCTAACATTGCACACTGCATATTATTTGCATGTGCGTCTGTATGAATGTTAACAAGCTTCAGAGAACATTCACACAGTCAGAGACTGAAAAAACACATTAGATTGCATGACAACAGAGTACACGACTTCTTTCTCTTCACTCAAGAGCACCTAAAGCTCATTAAACCTGCCAGCTTAAACTCTTCTTGACCCACGAGTAGACCTGACTCACTGTATAGCTGCTTTACAACATTAACACCGTTTAGGTAACAAGAGCCTTGTTAAGGCCCGATAGGCTTTAAAGGTGACATATCATGAAAATCTGACTTTTCCAGGTTTTAAGTGCTATAATCAGGTCCACGGTGCATCTACCATTCCACATCAAGGAAACATGAAAAAGATTAACCCAGTAACTTTGTTTTGATAAGCTTTTTTCTGCAAGCGTCTGAAAAAACGAGCGCGTCTGATCTCGCTCCCCTAGTGACGTTGCAAAGGGAT